AATTAATTAAGGCTAATGCGAGAGGGGATAAAACGCGAGGTGGTTTGAACGGGGAGTTGGAGTTGTTGCTGGGGAGTTGTTGGCGAGAGGTGACGAGTTACGAAGAAGACAGCTGGCAATGTTAGGGAAGAATAGATAGAGAGCCGAACCCCAAAGACAGTAAATAGCGATAGGGAGAGTTAGCGTTAGCGGAGATAGATAGAGTCACTGTGTGTGAATAGATAGATGGAGTCACTGTGTGTGAATAGATAGATGGAGTCACTGTGTGTGAATAGACAGACAGGATACTGTGTGTGAATAGATAGAAGAAGAACCACTGTGTGTGGAAGGGAAGTCACTGCGTGTGAAGAGATAGCGGTGATACTGTGTGTGTGAGGAGATAGAAGACGAGCCACTGTGTGTGGAAGGGAAGTCACTGTGTGTGAAGAGATAGGCGAAGGAACACTGTGTGTGGAAGGGGATGCACGGACGATGCTGAAGCAAATCGGAGTGTCCGAGTTGGCGGAGCACGGAGAGAATTACTGTGTGTACGGAACGATGGAATAAAAGTGACGGTGGAAAAAGAGACGGTTGTCGTCCGAGTGAATTCACGGCACTATATATATAAAAGGCAAAGTTGTACATACGCGTCTGTTCAAAATGTTTTAGCGTACTTCCCGACATGCAACACACTTGACATTTGCCATGTGGGTACTTTCCAGACTGTACACCGTGCAAAAATTATAAAAATACACTTTTCTTTTTTGGGAGGGGGGGGGGCTCAATAATGCATTAATGTTTTGCACGGCAAGTTAGCTGTGACGTCACATATGTCACGTGACCTTCGCACGTGGAAGCGTAACGCATTGTAATGTAGTGGTTAGCGCGCTGCCTGTGTGTGTGTCTGTGTGTGTGTGTCTGTGCATGTCTTGTGTGTGTCTGTGTGTATGTGTGTGTATGTGTGTGTATGTGAGCAGGTAATAGCTGCTCAGTCAGAGGAGGAGTTGGAGATGCTGCTGCTGAGACTGGAGCGTGCCACTAAGAGGTGGGGCTTTACCATCAGCCCCACCAAAACTAAGCACCTGCCTGGGTATTTTGTACCATCGGACACTCCACCCCCACAACTCCCAATCGGTGATGGGGCAGTTGTGGAGAGAGTGGAGAGTTTCCCATACCTGGGCAGTGTGCTTATGACTGGCTCCAGTTTAACAGCAGAGGTCTCACTCCGAATCAGTCGAGCGGCAATATCTTTTCATCGGTTGCGTAACGCTGTGTGGAAGCTACCTGGTCTGTCGCTCCGCACTAAGCTTCATTCCCTCCCTTCTCTACGCTTGCGAAACGTGGACCCCCCTAATGGAACATCTTCGCCGGTTAGAAACATTTAGGCTGGCCTGCCTACGATCCATCCTGGGTTTAACCAGACTGGATTGTGTGAGGAGCTCACAAATCCTTGAAAGATCTGGGCAGGGTCCCATCGGTGAGCTCCTCCGGCAGGCAAGGCTGCGATGGCTGGGTCATGTAGCCCGCATGCCCAGCCACCGCATGCCGAAACAGCTTTTGTTTGGCCGGATTGAGGGGGCTAAGCGGGCGCGGCACGGGCTAGAGAAGAGATGGAGTGATGTGGTACAGGAGGACGTGGAGCTGAGTGGACTTGCCGATGACTGGTACCAGCGGTGTCAAGATCGGCCTCTGTGGAGGAGGCTCGTGAAGGATGCTACTGGGCAGTTGGAGGCAGTCGCCCTCCAACAACAACGGAGGGCGGAGGAGCGACGCTCACAACAGCGAGCGGAGCGCCGGGTGGCTAAAGCACAGCAGGTTGGCACAGTAGGGGGCACAGGTGGTGCATCAGCCAGTCATCTCAGTCAGTCGACCCGTGGCACCTGGGTCTGCCCCGTGACCTCCTGCCAGCGGGCGTTCGACACTTCACGTGGCCTCAGGGTGCACATAGCCTGGCACAAGCGTCGTGGTGACGTCACCGCCACTTAGTGGCGAATGGCGGTTGTTGTTGTTGTTGATGTGTGTGTCTGTGTGTGTGTGTCTGTGACCGGCTCCAGTTTAACAGCAGAGGTCTCACTCCGAATCAGTCGAGCGGCAATATCTTTTCATCGTTTGCGTAACGCTGTGTGGAAGCTACCTGGTCTGTCGCTCCGCACTAAGCTTCAGGTCTTCTCGGCCACGGTCATTCCCTCCCTTCTTTACGCTTGCGAAACGTGGACCACCCTAATGGAACATCTTTGCCGGTTAGAAACATTTAGGCTGGCCTGCCTACGATCCATCCTGGGTTTAACCAGGCTGGATTGTGTGAGGAGTTCACAAATCTTTGAAAGATCTGGGCAAGGTCCCATTGGTGAGCTCCTCCGGCGGTCAAGGCTGCGTTGGCTGGGTCATGTAGTCCGCATGCCCAGCCACCGCATGCCAAAACAGCTTTTGAGGAGGCTAAGCGGGCGCAGCACGGGCTAGAGAAGAGATGGAGTGATGTGGTACAGGAGGACGTGGAGCTGAGTGGACTTGCCGATGACTGGTACCAGCGGTGTCAAGATCGGCCTCTGTGGAGGAGGCTCGTGAAGGATGCTACTGGGCAGTTGGAGTCAGTCGCCCTCCAACAACAACGGAGGGAGGAGGAGCGACGCTCACAACAACGAGCGGAGCGCCGGGTGGCTAAAGCACAGCAGGTTGGCACAGTAGGGGGCACAGGTAGTGCATTAGCCAGTCATCTCAGTCAGTCGACCCGTGGCACCTGGGTCTGCCCCGTGACCTCCTGCCAGCGGGCGTTCGACAGTTCACGTGGCCTCAAGGTGCACGTGGCCTGGCACAAGCGTCGTGGTGACGTCACCGCCACTTAGTGGCGAATGGCGGTTGTTGTTGTTGTGTATATATGTGTCTGTGTGTGTCTGTGTATATATGTGTCTGTGTGTGTCTGTGTGTGTGTGTATATATGTGTCTGTGTGTGTGTCTGTGTGTATATGTGTGTCTGTATGTGTGTGTGTCTGTGTGTATATGTGTGTCTGTATGTGTGTGTATGTATGTATATGTGTGTGTATGTGTGTGTGTATATATGTGTCTGTGTGTGTATATATGTGTCTGTGTGCATGTCTGTGTGTCTGTGTGTGTATGTGTATATATGTGTCTGTGTGTCTGTATGTGTATGTATGTATATGTGTGTATGTGTGTGTGTATATATGTGTCTGTGTGTGTCTGTGTGTATCTGTGTGTGTGTGTATATATATGTGTCTGTGTGTGTCTGTGTGTGTGTATATATGTGTCTGTATGTGTGGGTATATATGTGTCTGTGTGTGTATATATGTCTCTGTGTATATGTGTCTGTGTGTATGTGTCTGTGTGTCTGTGTGTATGTGTGGGGGCAGCGGTAGTGTAGTGGTTAGCGCTACGCTGCGCTACGAACCCGGCGACCCGAGTTCGATTCCCGCTCACGGCCACCAACACCGGTGACGAATTATTTCAACCGCTCCTGGGCCTCCCCTAGGTCGACTCAGCCTCAAACGAGCAACTGCTCTGGTGTGTGAACATCGCCACTGGGGAGACAAAGGCGGCCGGGCGTGGTGGATCCAAATCCCGGGGGTAGCACAGCTAGTTTTAATATATATTGTGGCGGACACATCCCCCCCCCCCCCCAATATTCAAATATGCTCAAAATGCCCCCCCTAATATATTGCTCTTAAATCGTATCGGCTACAGCAATGGTGGGTACGCTGACCCATCGGCTACCCGTCCACACAGGCAAACTAAAACAATAATATTATTTTTGATTTAAAGCTTTCGTGACTGCAGTAATTCGTATTCTTAGCTCTTTCGATAAAGTCACCACGTTGAAGGGAAACAGTAAAAATAATAAAATATATATATAAAACAATAAAAAAATTCTCACGACGTTTCGACCATAACACAAACGGTCGTCATCAGGTGCGTCGGTTTGTAGTAATTTATTTATTTTAAAACAGTGTATAAATAAAATAAATAAATTAATCGATGCAAACCGTCACGCCTGATGACGACCGTTTGTGTTATGGTCGAAACGTCGTGAGAATTTTTTTTATTGTTTTATATATATTTATTTTATTATTTATTGTTTCCCTTCTACGTGACTTTACCGAAAGAATCAAGAATATGAATCGCCGCAGTCACGAAAGCTTTAAATCAAAATTTAAAACAATACTAATGAGAAATACAAATTAAAAACTATTTACAAATTTCATAGCAACATTTAAAATAAAAAATTACGATAAAAAACTATAAATAAATGCAAGTAAAAAATGAAAATTAAAAAAAACAAATAATTTAAACAAATAGAAGAATACGAATTAAAAAAATATATATATGTAAAAAAAATACCAACAAAATACAGTAAAAAAAATACTACTGAAAATAAAATAAAATTATTATATTGTGGTCGTGGTAACGGTTGGGATGGACGCGTTTCCATGGTTACGCGTGGGGTGGGTGGAATTCCCTAGCAACCGCGGCCCCCTCCCCCACCTGGCACAGCTGATCAATGAGGAGCGCGGGTCCTCCCACCCAGTCACGTGGGTTGGTTGAGAGCTTGCACCAATCAGGGACACGATTTTTGCAGAAACCACCTCATGAATATTCATCAAACTCAAGCCGCGCCCACTCGACGAACTGTCCTTCCCCCCCCCACCTGGCACAGCTGACCAATGATGGAGCGCGGGTCCTCCCACCCAGTCACGTGGGTTGGTTGAGAGCTTGCACCAATCAGGGACACGATTTTGCAGAAACCACCTCATGAATATTCATCAAACTCAAGCCGCGCCCATTCGACGAACTGTCCAATCCGAAGCCGAGCATTGGCAAACCGGGGCTGGCCCCCCAGCTCTCTGTGAACCAAGCCCACAATTCACCTCAACCAATCGGAAGCGTTTTTATTTTTCTACGCCCATTTTAACCGTCGCCCTGTCCAATCAGGCGAGGCGAGCGAGGGGCGGGGCGAGCGAGGGGAGGGGCGAGCGAGGGGCGGGGCGAGCGAGGGGCGGGGCGAGCGAGGGGCGGGGCTTTGTTACCTGGCACCAGCGTGGGTGTTGACACCAACACCGCCACCATCACGCCCGGCCGCCTTTGTCTCTCTCTCTGTAGCTGCTGCACCTTCTCATACACAACGACAACCACGCCCGACCGCCTTTGTCTCTCTCTCTGACACTCTCCATAGCAGCGCTCACAGTTTACAATACGGCTCACAACAGCACACAGGAAATATTTTTTTTAAAGAAATTTAAGGCCTAGTCGACTTAGGGGTGAGACGGCTCCCACCGCCCCCCCCACCCACCCAGCTGATGCTGGTCGTGGTGCGGGAAATCGAACCTGGGTTGGTTGGTGCAGCCCGCTCGCTGGCATCGGGTGCCAGGCTAGGTGCACGCGGTGAGCGATGTGCGAGGGACCGTCCACGATTTCTGGGCCCATCCCGCCCGATCTGAGTCTCTACCCGCAGAGCTACCAGCAGCAGCAGCAGCACGGGAGGCCGCAGTCTGGTGAGACACACAGACACACACAGAGACACACACACAGAGACACACACACACAGACACACACACACAGACACACACAGACACATACACAGAGACTCACACAGAGACACACACACACAGACACATACACACAGACACACACAGAGACACACACAGATACACACAGAGACACACACACAGACACACACAGACACACACACACACAGACACACACAGACACACACACAGATACACAGACACTCACACACAGACACTCACACACAGACTCACACACATACACACACACACAGATACACACACATACAGACACACATACACACACAGACTCACACACATACACACACAGACACACACAGACACACACACAGACTCACACACACACAGACTCACACACACACAGACTCACACACACACAGACTCACACAGACACACACACACAGACACACACACAGAGACACACACACAGAGACTCACACAGACACACACAACAACAACAACCGCCATTCGCCACTAAGTGGCGGTGACGTCACCACGACGCTTGTGCCAGGCTATGTGCACCCTGAGGCCACGTGAAGTGTCGAACGCCCGCTGGCAGGAGGTCACGGGGCAGACCCAGGTGCCACGGGTCGACTGACTGAGATGACTGGCTGATGCACCACCTGTGCCCCCTACTGTGCCAACCTGCTGTGCTTTAGCCACCCGGCGCTCCGCTCGTTGTTGTGAGCGTCGCTCCTCCGCCCTCCGTTGTTGTTGGAGGGCGACTGCCTCCAACTGCCCAGTAGCATCCTTCACGAGCCTCCTCCACAGAGGCCGATCTTGACACCGCTGGTACCAGTCATCGGCAAGTCCACTCAGCTCCACGTCCTCCTGTACCACATCACTCCATCTCTTCTCTAGCCCGTGCCGCGCCCGCTTAGCCCCCTCAATCCGGCCAAACAAAAGCTGTTTCGGCATGCGGTGGCTGGGCATGCGGGCTACATGACCCAGCCATCGCAGCCTTGCCTGCCGGAGGAGCTCACCGATGGGACCCTGCCCAGATCTTTCAAGGATTTGTGAGCTCCTCACACAATCCAGTCTGGTTAAACCCAGGATGGATCGTAGGCAGGTCAGCCTAAATGTTTCTAACCGGCGAAGATGTTCCATTAGGGGGGTCCACGTTTCGCAAGCGTAGAGAAGGGAGGGAATGACCGTGGCCGAGAAGACGTGAAGCTTAGTGCGGAGCGACAGACCAGGTAGCTTCCACACAGCGTTACGCAACCGATGAAAAGATATTGCCGCTCGACTGATTCGGAGTGAGACCTCTGCTGTTAAACTGGAGCCAGTCATAAGCACACTGCCCAGGTATGGGAAACTCTCCACTCTCTCCACAACTGCCCCATCACCGATTGGGAGTTGTGGGGGTGGAGTGTCCGATGGTACAAAATACCCAGGCAGGTGCTTAGTTTTGGTGGGGCTGATGGTAAGGCCCCACCTCTTAGTGGCACGCTCCAGTCTCAGCAGCAGCGTCTCCAACTCCTCCTCTGACTGAGCAGCTATTACCAAGTCATCAGCATACATAACGTGGTTGAGCAATAGGGAGCCATCCCTTGACCGCACCCGGGCATCGATTAGCCTCCCATTATATCTGTACCATATGGAGATTCCCCCGGTACAGCTATTGAAGGCTTCACGAACTACGTGGTCAAAATAGATGTTAAATAATGTGGGAGCCAGAGGACATCCCTGTCGCACCCCAAGGTGTACAGGGAATGGCTCTGACTCCCGGCCACGTAGTTTTACCCGGGCCCGCTCACCATCATGAAGGTCCTTAATGATCGTGAGCAGAGGGTCAGGTACTCCAAAAGCACGAAGAACGACCCAGAGCCCAGGCCTACTGATGGTATCATAGGCCTTGACCAGGTCAATAAAGCAGAGATGTAGGTCTTGTTGGAATTCCCTACACCTCTGCTGTAGCAGACGGACAGAAAATATGGCATCTGTGCAGGACCGCCCTTTCCTGAAACCGCATTGGGGCTCCGCAAGCCTCTCCTCAGCGTGCCTGGCAAGGCGATGCTGAATAATCCTTGCCAGGACCTTTCCCGGCACACTGAGGAGTGAGATGCCCCTGTAGTTGTTACAGTCTGTGCGGTCCCCCTTCTTAAAAAGGGGGACCACCAGGGCATCCTTCCAATCCTGCGGAACCCGTCCAGTGGTCCAGACTGTTGTTATGATGTCATATAGGGCAGTCTGTGCACAAACGCCACCCTCCCTCAGCATTTCGCTTGGGAGATCATCTCTGCCCGCTGCCTTTCCTGGTCTCAGACTCCTGATCGCCTTCAATACTTCCTCAGCAGATGGCACCTCAGCCAGCCACTCACAGGGGGTGACTTTATCCAATATTTGAGGCACCGCAGCCTCAGCAGGGTCATCCTCACTTTGTGCCACGATGTTTTCCTGGCTGTGGGATTTTCCCTCCCCCAGGACCTCACAGAAATGCTCAGCAAATCTGCGAACCTGTTCCTGGGGGTCGGAAATTGGATCACCGTTTTTTCCCCTAATGATGGTAATAGGTGTGGCGCTGCAGGTTACTTTTTTGATGGAGTTAAATAGCGATTTGTGATCACGGGCCACTGAGGCAGACTCCATCTCCTCAGCAACCCGCGACCACCACCCATCCTTGCAGCGCCTCACGGCTCTCCGAACCTCCGAGCGAAGGCTGCGGTAAGCCTCCTCATTCTCTGACGTGGGATTCTGTAGCCGATGACAGTGGGCCTGTCGCTTTTTCTCAACCATCCTGAACAACTCCTCTGTCATCCAGGGTGTCTGGGGAGGTCTGGACCGCGTACCCATAGCTGCCATTGCAGCTGCATGAGTCACAGTCCTAAACCTCGCCCATTTACCCTCGACATCAGGAGGAGTCGGGGACGATGCCAATCCCAGCCGCAAGCGATGATGAAATTCTCGCTTGCAACTTTCATCAGATAACTGAGACCAGGCCACTTTAGGTTGGAATGGGGTCCTGGGTGTACACCCACCACCGGAGTGGAAGAATGGCAGGCGCATCTTACAGATGACTAGTCGATGGTCAGAGGGCAGATCAGCTCCACGGTAGGTCCTGGTGTCAAGGACATGGGCTCGCATTCGCTGGTCCGTCACTATGTAGTCCAGCAGATGTTCTTGCTTGGACCCGGCATGCATCCATGATGTTGTGTGGATGCGCCGATGCCGGAACAGCGTGTTGGTAATTACAAGCCCATGGGCTGCACAAAAATCTAGCAGCCTCCTACCGTTGTTATTGAGCTGATCTGGCCCATGCCCTCCAATCACTCCAGACCAGGTGCCAGTATCATGACCAACTCGGGCATTGAAGTCACCCAACATGATGACTCTATCCCGAGGGGCCACTTTAGCCAGCACCTGTGACAGGAGGTCATAGAAGGCATCTGACTCATCGGCTTTGCCTGCATCCCTCCACGGATGTTCATCTTCGGTGGGGGCATAAGTAACCACGACCACCATTCCTCGCCTCCGGTTGATGGGAAGGCGAGCCCAAAGTAGCCTGGGGCTTACAGCTTCCCACACCTCACCGCCACGCTCCCACGCCCCCTTCATTCTTTTGTTCAAAAGAAGACCCACACCCTGTTGTTTGGCAGTCTGCTGCCCCGAGTAGAGGACTGTCCACCCCTCATGGTGGCAGGAGCCAGAGCCGGTCCACCGGACCTCCTGAATGCCGCATAGATCCAGGCGGTACCGGTCCAGCTCCCGACAGAGGAGTGGCAGCCTCTCCTCTGCAGTGAGCGTTCGAACATTCCACGTGGCCACCCGTAGTGGCTTTTCGTTGTTTCTGGAGTAGCCCCGAGGGTAGGTATTCAATCTCCTGGCTCCGCCAATTGGGGTTTGGCCAGGAGACGTCATAGACGCCTGGCCCCCCGGGGCCTCCGGCACAAGCTTAGTTGTTACATATTTCACTTTAATTCGTGGTTTTGTGGTAATTAATTGAAGGTGGAGGGGTTACCAGCCCCTCGCACCCGTCCAGAGCCCCCGTTTAGCCCCTGTGGTGGACACATATGCCATGAGGGGAGGAGCCAATCAAAATTGGAACTCCCCCCACAGCACTGTCCACGACAGAGTTGCCCGTCCGGCACCGCGAGGAGGTAGGGGGTTGTTTTGCCGAACACAGACACACACACACACAGACACACACACAGACACTCACACACAGAGACTCACACAGACACACACAGACACACACACAGACACTCACACAGACACACACACACAGACACACACACATACACACACAGACACATACAGAGATTCACACAGAGACACACACAGATACACACACACAGACACACACACAGACACACACACACAGACACACACAGATACACACAGACACACACACACACGCACACACAACAACAACAACAACAACCGCCATTCGCCACTAAGTGGCGGTGACGTCACCACGACGCTTGTGCCAGGCTATGTGCACCCTGAGGCCACGTGAAGTGTCGAACGCCCGCTGGCAGGAGGTCACGGGGCAGACCCAGGTGCCACGGGTCGACTGACTGAGATGAGTGGCTGATGCACCACCTGTGCCCCCCTACTGTGCCAACCTGCTGTGCTTTAGCCACCCCGCGCTCCGCTCGTTGTTGTGAGCGTCGCTCCTCCGCCCTCCATTGTTGTTGGAGGGCGACTGCCTCCAACTGCCCAGTAGCATCCTTCACGAGCCTCCTCCACAGAGGCCGATCTTGACACCGCTGGAACCAGTCATCGGCAAGTCCACTCAGCTCCACGTCCTCCTGTACCACATCACTCCATCTCTTCTCTAGCCCCGTGCCTCCTGTAACACATCACTCCATCTCTTCTCTAGCCCCGTGCCTCCTGCACCACATCACTCCATCTCTTCTCTAGCCCCGTGCCTCCTGTACCACATCACTCCATCTCTTCTCTAGCCCCGTGCCTCCTGTACCACATCACTCCATCTCTTCTCTAGCCCCGTGCCTCCTGTACCACATCACTCCATCTCTTCTCTAGCCCCGTGCCTCCTGTACCACATCACTCCATCTCTTCTCTAGCCCCGTGCCTCCTGTACCACATCACTCCATCTCTTCTCTAGCCCCGTGCCCCCTGTACCACATCACTCCATCTCTTCTCTAGCCCCGTGCCTCCTGTACCACATCACTCCATCTCTTCTCTAGCCCGTGCCGCGCCCGTTTAGCCCCCTCGATCCGTCCGAACAAAAGCTGTTTCGGCACGCGGTGGCTGGGCATGCGGGCTACATGACCCAGCCATCGCAGCCTTGCCCGCCGGAGGAGCTCACCGATGGGACCTTGCCCAGATCTTTCAAGGATTTGTGAGCTCCTCACACAATCCAGTCTGGTTAAACCCAGGATGGATCGTAGCCTGCTCAGGGCCAGCCTGAATGTCTCAGGATGAGGGCGTGCCCGTGGCCGAGAAGACCAGAAGCTTCGTGCAGAGCAACTCATTAACTCACCCACGTGATTCTCTACCCCCCCCTCTCCCCACCACTTCCCCCCACCACTTCCCCCCACCACTTCCCCCCACCACTTCCCCCCACCCCCACCACTTTTCCCCACCAACCACCACTTTCCCCCACCCCCCACCACTTCCCCCCACCACTTCCCCCCACCCCCACCACTTTTCCCCACCCCCCACCCTTTCCCCCCACCACGTCCCCCCACCCCCCACCATTTCCCCCCACCACTTCCCCCCACCCCCCACCACTTTCCCCCACCACTTCCCCCCACCCCCACCACTTTTCCCCACCCCCCACCACTTCCCCCCACCCCCCACCATTTCCCCTCACCACTGCCCCCCACCCCCCACCACTTCCCCCCCCACCACTTCCCCCCCCTCACCACTTCCCCCCCCCACCACCACTTCCCCCCCTCACCACTTCCGCCCCCCCCCCCCCCTCCACAGCTCGGAGCCCCATCCTAGCCCTGCCCCCCTGGGCGCCCACTTCCGCCCGTAGCCCCGCCCCTGGACCCCCTCCCCCCCGCGCGCTGGGGGAGGGGCTGGAGATCCTCCTGAGGGGGAGGGGCAGCGTGGGGGCGCTCATCCATGCTGAGGGGCCCCGCGAGGGGGAGGGGCCTTGGGGCGGGGGCCCCAAACGACAAGGTATGAATAGAATTGTGAGTGGGCGAGTGGGGTGGGTGAGTGGATGAGTGGGTGGGTGGGTGAGTGGATGAGTGGGTGGGTGAGTGGATGAGTGGGTGGGTGGGTGAGTGGATGAGTGGGTGGGTGGGTGAGTGGATGAGTGGGTGGGTGGGTGAGTGGATGAGTGGGTGGGTGGGTGAGTGGGTGAGTGGGTGGGTGAGTGAGTGGATGAGTGGGTGGGTGGGTGAGTGGATGAGTGGGTGGGTGAGGGTGAGTGGATGAGTGGGTGGGTGGGTGGGTGGATGAGTGGGTGGGTGGGTGAGTGGATGAGTGGGTGGGTGGGTGAGTGGATGAGTGGGTGGGTGAGTGGATGAGTGGGTGGGTGAGTGGATGAGTGGGTGGGTGAGTGGATGAGTGGGTGGGTGGGTGAGTGGATGAGTGGGTGGGTGGGTGAGTGGATGAGTGGGTGGGTGAGTGGATGAGTGGGTGGGTGAGGGTGAGTGGATGAGTGGGTGGGTGAGTGGATGAGTGGGTGGGTGGGTGAGTGGATGAGTGGGTGGGTGGGTGAGTGGATGAGTGGGTGGGTGGGTGAGTGGATGAGTGGGTGGGTGGGTGAGTGGATGAGTGGGTGGGTGGGTGAGTGGATGAGTGGGTGGGTGGGTGGGTGGATGAGTGGATGAGTGGGTGAGTGGATGAGTGGGTGGGTGGGTGGGTGGGTGGATGAGTGGGTGGGTGGGTGAGTGGATGAGTGGGTGGGTGGGTGAGTGGATGAGTGGGTGGGTGGGTGAGTGGATGAGTGGGTGGGTGGGTGAGTGGATGAGTGGGTGGGTGGGTGAGTGGATGAGTGGGTGGGTGGGTGAGTGGGTGAGTGGGTGGGTGAGTGAGTGGATGAGTGGGTGGGTGGGTGAGTGGATGAGTGGGTGGGTGAGGGTGAGTGGATGAGTGGGTGGGTGGGTGGGTGAGTGGATGAGTGGGTGGGTGGGTGAGTGGATGAGTGGGTGGGTGGGTGGGTGAGTGGATGAGTGGGTGGGTGAGTGGATGAGTGGGTGGGTGAGTGGATGAGTGGGTGGGTGGGTGAGTGGATGAGTGGGTGGGTGAGTGGATGAGTGGGTGGGTGGGTGGATGATTGGGTGGGTGGGTGAGTGCATGAGTGGGTGAGTGGGTGGGTGGGTGAATGGATGAGTGGGTGGGTGGGTGAGTGGATGAGTGGGTGGGTGAATGGATGAGTGGGTGAGTGGATGAGTGTTTGGGTGTGTGAGTGAATGGATGGGTGAGTGCTTGGGTGGTTGAGTGAGTGGTTGGGTGGGTGAGTGAGTGGTTGGATGCGTGAGTGGTTGGGTGGGTGAGTGAGTGGTTGGATGGGTGGGTGAGTGAGTGGTTGGTTGCGTGAGTGGTTGGGTGGGTGAGTGAGTGGTTGGGTGGGTGGTTGGGTGAGTGGTTGGGTGGGTGAGTGGTTGGGTGGTTGGGTGGGTGAGTGAGTGATGCCGCTGATAACAACGATGATGCTGCGGCTATTGATGTATGTATGTATGTTGAACCTGTTTGTGCACCGTACGTAGCCAACTGTGCTCATCGGAGGTGCGGGGGGAAGGACAAACTTAAAATAACAAGAAGCAGTTATAAAAAAATGAGTTTGTCAATCTATATGATGATTTAAAGGTGCATCGTAGCTTCATTGGCTGCCTAATATCGCAAGGAAGAGCGTTCCAGACGGCCACAGAAGCGCATCTGAAAGTGCCGCGCGATGCGGTGACCACTGTTTTTGTTTGATGACGATGCTGCTCTTGCTGCTTATGCTGTTCTGGCTGACGATGATGCTGATGGTTCTCTTGCTGATGGTCATCATGATGATGATGCTGCTGCTGCTGCTGATTATACTGCAGCTGCTGATGATGCTGCTGATGATGATGATTAGCTTGCTGATGATGCTGACGATGCTGCTGATGACGACCTTCAGGACACAAGCCGCGAAACCACGTCCTTGAAAACTTGCGACGCATCAGAAAGATCCAGCAGCAGCATCAGCAGCAGCATCAGCAGCAGCAGCAGCCTCCTGCTCATCAGCAGCGTGAAGCCACCGCTCTCTGGAAGTCGAGGAAATACGACAACGTCCCCAGCAAAGTGACCGCCAAGCTGCAGGTGAGTGGCGTTCACGATGTCTGCGTGTGGGTGGGTTCATAATGGCCATGCCGCTAGTTTCACGATGGCCGTGTCGCTGGGATTCACGATGGCCGTGTCGCTGGGGTTCACAATGGCTCTGTCGCTGGCTCCATGATGGCCGTGTCGCTGGGATTCACAATGGCTCTGTCGCTGGGTCCATGATGGCCGTGTCGCTGGGATTCACGATGGCTCTGTCGCTGGGATTCACGATGGCCGTGTCGCTGGGATTCACGATGGCCGTGTCGCTGGGATTCACGATGGCCGTGTCGCTGGGATTCACAATGGCCGTGTCGCTGGGGTTCACAATGGCCGTGTCGCTGGGATTCACAATGGCCGTGTCGCTGGGATTCACGATGGCCGTGTCGCTGGGATTCACAATGGCCGTGTCGCTGGGATTCACAATGGCCGTGTCGCTGGGATTCACGATGGCCGTGTCGCTGGGATTCACAATGGCCGTGTCGCTGGGATTCACGATGGCCGTGTCGCTGGGATTCACGATGGCCATGTCGCTGGGGTTCACAATGGCCGTGTCGCTGGGATTCACGATGGCCGTGTCGCTGGGATTCACAATGGCCGTGTCGCTGGGATTCACGATGGCCGTGTCGCTGGGGTTCACGATGGCCGTGTCGCTGGGATTCACGATGGCCGTGTCGCTGGGATTCACAATGGCCGTGTCGCTGGGATTCACAATGGCCGTGTCGCTGGGATTCACAATGGCCGTGTCGCTGGGATTCACGATGGCCATGTCGCTGGGATTCACAATGGCCGTGTCGCTGGGGTTCACGATGGCCTCGTCCCTGGCTTCACAATGGCTCTGTCGCTGGGATTCACGATGGCCGTGTCGCTGGGATTCACAATGGCCGTGTCGCTGGGGTTCACGATGGCCTCGTCCCTGGCTTCACAATGGCTCTGTCGCTGGGATTCACGATGGCCGTGTCGCTGGGATTCACAATGGCCGTGTCGCTGGGGTTCACGATGGCCTCGTCCCTGGCTTCACAATGGCTCTGTCGCTGGGATTCACGATGGCCGTGTCGCTGGGATTCACAATGGCCGTGTCGCTGGGATTCACAATGGCCGTGTCGCTGGGATTCACGATGGCCTCGTCGCTGGGATTCACAATGGCCGTGTCGCTGGGGTTCACGATGGCCGTGTCGCTGGGATTCACAATGGCCGTGTCGCTGGGGTTCACAATGGCCGTGTCGCTGGGGTTCACGATGGCCTCGTCCCTGGCTTCACAATGGCCGTGTCGCTGGGATTCACGATGGCCGTGTCGCTGGGATTCACAATGGCCGTGTCGCTGGGATTCACAATGGCCGTGTCGCTGGGATTCACGATGGCCGTGTCGCTGGGATTCACGATGGCCGTGTCGCTGGGATTCACGATGGCCGTGTTGCTGGGATTCACAATGGCCGTGTTGCTGGGGTTCACAATGGCTCTGTCGCTGGGATTCACAATGGCCGTGTCGCTGGGATTCACGATGGCCGTGTCGCTGGGATTCACGATGGCCGTGTCGCTGGGGTTCACAATGGCCGTGTCGCTGGGATTCACGATGGCCGTGTCGCTGGGGTTCACAATGGCCGTGTCGCTGGGATTCACGATGGCCGTGTCGCTGGGATTCACAATGGCCGTGTCGCTGGGATTCACAATGGCCGTGTCGCTGGGATTCACAATGGCCGTGTTGCTGGGGTTCACGATGGCCGTGTCGCTGGGGTTCACAATGGCCGTGTCGCTGGGATTCACGATGGCCGTGTCGCTGGGATTCACAATGGCCGTGTCGCTGGGATTCACGATGGCCGTGTCGCTGGGATTCACGATGGCCGTGTCGCTGGGATTCACGATGGCCGTGTCGCTGGGGTTCACAATGGCCGTGTTGCTGGGATTCACAATGGCCGTGTTGCTGGGGTTCACGATGGCCGTGTCGCTGGGATTCACAATGGCCGTGTTGCTGGGATTCACAATGGCCGTGTCGCTGGGATTCACGATGGCCGTGTCGCTGGGATTCACGATGGCCGTGTCGCTGGGATTCACAATGGCCGTGTTGCTGGGATTCACAATGGCCGTGTTGCTGGGGTTCACGATGGCCGTGTCGCTGGGATTCACGATGGCCGTGTCGCTGGGATTCACGATGGCTCTGTCGCTGGGATTCACGATGGCCGTGTCGCTGGGGTTCACGATGGCCGTGTCGCTGGGATTCACGATGGCCGTGTCGCTGGGATTCACGATGGCCGTGTCGCTGGGATTCACGATGGCCGTGTCGCTGGGATTCACAATGGCTCTGTCGCTGGGTCCATGATGGCCGTGTCGCTGGGATTCACAATGGCCGTGTCGCTGGGATTCACAATGGCTCTGTCGCTGGGTTCATGATGGCCGTGTCGCTGGGTTCATGATGGCAATGTCGTTTTGTAGGAACCACCTCCTCCTCCCCGTGCTCAAAGCGCTGGGTTTCTCCGGGCTCACTCCAGAGGAAGAGGGGAGAGTGGGGGAGAGGTGAGGGGATCGCTACTCAGCCACTCGCCCACTCAGCCACACAGCCACACAGGCACTCAACCATCCACTCACTCGCTCACCAACTCAGCCACACAGCCACTCAACCAGCCTCTCACTCACAAACCCACTCAATCACCCGCACACTAACCAACTCACTCACCCACTCAATTTCACACCGATGTTTTGATGACCGTATGATTCACGATGAAGTGTTTAGGGTTAGATCGCATGCATTTCAATGTGTCGTACAACCACCTCATGCCAACACAAGCTCATTAGCAAGGTGTTTGAAAACGGTCAGCGAATGCAGAATTCGCGAGGATAGAAACCTTATTCCAATGGAAAAAAATGGGGTTACGTTCCTGGTCCGAGTGAAATGGTAAATGTTTAATAACAATGACTACAATAAATAAATAATACAGATTAAAGAACAATACATATTTTCCAATTGCCTTTGACGATGATCATGATGACGGTGATTTGGCGACAGTGGAGGTGGTGATAGTGAGGAATTCAGGAGGATGACTCCTCGGGAGATGTGGGTGTTTGATAACAACACCGCACAGCTGTTATCACCTTTGCGCTCTGGGGATAGCTGGCCGCAACACTTTCCCCGATGGCATTCGCGTTCCGCTTAATAACGGACTTCAAAGTTGACGCGTTTATACCAAAATGTGTTAACGTTTGGACTGTAGTGAGCACATTACATAGGAGTAAAAATGCACAACAGCGAGTTTAGAGCCGAGGGGGGGCGTCCGTAACCTTAGCTACTGTGGCGAGATGTTAACTCCCTCGCCTGGTATCCAGGAGGTCGTGGGTTCCATCCCGACCCTGACCATGCATGCTGCTGCTGTAAATTTTGAGTCTGCGTCTCTCTCTCTCTCTCTGTCATCATCATCACGGTGGCCCGGATATGTTAACTCCCTCGCCTGGTATACAGGAGGTCGTGGGTTCGATCCCGACCCTGACCATGTATGCTGCTGCTGTAGATTTGGAGTCTGGGTCTCTCTCTCTCTCTCTCCCCCCATGGCTGCATGGATCTTTCTCCGGGTACTCTGGTTTTCCCCGCCACATTTAGAATCGACGTCACGCCATTCAGAGTATTTGGCTGCTGTTACGAATTTCCACGCGATCATGATATCAGCTGCTTCGTTGAGCTATCATTTGTGATGGCCAGGTCGCTTGTGAAAAAGAGTTACGTAGCTCAGATGGGGCCCTTACCTGGTGAAATGAAATAGTAAGTTGTAAAAACACCGCACTTGGTTACGCATTTGAGGCTGAGTTGACCTAGGGGTGTTTGGAGTCCCAGGATCTGTTTTAGATAATCGCTGGTGTTGGTGGGCATGAGCGGGAATCGAACTCAGGTCGCCGGGTTCACCAATCACCGCTACACTTCCCACGCTCCCACACACACCATCACGAACCCGTAAGCATTCGCCACGCCATTCGCCCACCCGCTCAACGTGTGTCTCTCCCCATGTCTCCCTGTCTTTCCGGCTCATTCTCCGCCCCCCCCCTCTCTCGCCGTTAGGAACTCTTTTGTTGTGTTTCGTGTTTCTGCCTTTGTCCCGCACTTCTGACACGCATGGTTGGCTACATATGGTGTGAAAGAAGTTCAACGGACAGTAAATATTCATATCGTGTCTCTCTCTCTCTTTCTCCCTCACACTCTCTCTCCCGCTCTCTTCCCCCCTCTCTCCTGCTCGCTGTCTTTCACGCTTTCTCTCTTTCCACCGCTCTCCCTCCCGCTCTATCTCCCTTTCCGTCTCTCTCTCTCTCTCCCTCTCTCTCCATCCTGCCCTCTCTCTCCCTTTCCCTCTTTCGCTCTCCCTCCCTCTCTCTCTCTCTCTGTCTCTCTTTTCATCTCTTTCTCTCCTTTGTCCCGTGTCCTCCGCTCTCTCTCTCTGTCTCTCCTCTGTGTAGACTCCTAGACAGGCGAGGCAGAGTGTGGACTTTGTGAAGCGGAACACCAGGGACGCGTGGCAACGTGGAGAGAGAGACCATGGCCTAAGCAGATCCAACTCCCAGCCCAATCTCAGCCTGGCACCTCAACCCAAGGGGATGCTGCCCGCCTAGTACGTTGTTTGAGTGTGTGAGTGTGTGAGCGAGTGAGCGTATGAGTGTGCGAGTGAGTGTGTGTGCGAGTGAGTGTGTGAGAGTGTGTTTGTAAGTGAGTGTGTGAGCGAGTGAGCGTATGAGTGTGCGAGTGAGTGTGTGTGTGTGCGAGTGAGTGTGTATGCGAGTGAGTGTGTGAGAGTGTGTTTGTAAGTGAGTGTGTGAGCGAGTGAGCGTATGAGTGTGCGAGTGAGTGTGTGTGTGAGCGAGTGAGTGTGTGAGAGTGTGTTTGCAAGTGAGTGTGTGAGCGAGTGAGCGTATGAGTGTGCGAGTGAGTGTGTGAGAGTGTGTTTGCAAGTGAGCGTGTGAGCGAGTGAGCGTATGAGTGTGTGTTGTGGGGAGCGGTAGTGTAGCGGTTAGCGCGCTGCGCTACGAACCTGGCGACCCGGGTTCGATTCCCGCTCACGGCCAACGCCAGTGGCGATTATCTGAACCGGTCCCGGGCCTCCCCTAGGTCGACTCAGCCTCAAATGAGTACCTGGTGCGGTGTGTAAACATCGCCACTAGGGAGACAAAGGCGGTCGGGCGTGGTGCTGGCCACCCACCCCCTCGTGTACCGTTCCGGCCTTCATAGGTGCTCGCTAACAGCACTTGCCCCTACAGTCTGTTACAGGCTATACGGGGGATCTTTGTCTTTGTTTGTTTGTATGAGTGTGCGAGTGAGTGTGTGTGCGAGTGAGTGTGTGTGCGAGTGAGTGTGTGAGAGTGTGTTTGTAAGTGAGTGTGTGAGCGAGTGAGTGAGCGTATGAGTGTGCGAGTGAGTGTGTGTGCGAGTGAGTGTGTGTGCGAGTGAGTGTGTGAGAGTGTGTTTGCAAGTGAGTGTGTGAGCGAGTGAGTGAGCGTATGAGTGTGCGAGTGAGTGTGTGTGTGTGTGTGCGAGTGAGTGTGTGAGAGTGTGTTTGCAAGTGAGCGTGTGAGTTCGGCAAAACAACTCCCTTCCTCCTCGGTGGTGCCGAACAGTAACACTGGTGGATATGAGCAATGCCATAGAAGGAAGGAAGGCCAATTCCAATTGGCTATACCGCTCATGGCGCTTGTAGCCACCATAGCGGCCAATGGGAGGCTCTGGATGGCGTGAAATATATCTAGCTAAGCTTGTGCTGGAGTCCCCGGGTGAACAGGCGTCTGTGACATCTGCTGGACAAAATCCATTTGGCGGAGCCAGGAGACTGGACCCGTACCCTCGGGGCTCCTCCAGAAACAGCAAAAAGCCACTGCGAGTGGCCACGTGGAATGGTTGAACACTCGCTGTGGAGGAATGGCTTCCAGTCCTCTGTCGGGAGCTAGACCGGTACCGCCTGGATATATGGGGTATTCAGGAGGTCCTGTGGACCGGCTCTGGTTCCAGTCACCATGAGGGGTGGACAATCCTTTACGCCGGGCAGGAGACTGCCAAACAACAGTGAGTGGTTCGTCTTCTAAACAAAAGAATGAAGGGGACGTGGAAGCATGGCAGTGAGTGTGGAAATCTGTAAACCACAGGCGACTGTGGGCTCGTCTCCCCATCAACCAGAGGCGAGGAGTGGTGGTGGTCGTGGCTTATGCCCTCGTCAAAGGTGAACATCAGTGGAGGGATGCAGGCAAAGCCGATGAGTCAGATGCCTTTCATGACCTCCTGTCACAGGTGCGAGCTAAAGTGGGCCCATGAGATAGTCGGCCTCATGGGTGACTTTAATTCCCGAGTGGGTCATTAGGCTGGCACCTGGGCTGGAATGATTAGAAGAAATTAGCCAGATCAACTCAATAACAACGGTAGGAGGCTGCGAGACTTCTGTGCAGCCCGTGGGCTTGTTATTGCCAGCGCGCTGTTCCGGCATCAGAGCATCCACACAACATCACGGCATTAAGCGGGTAAAATGTATGTCTTCACTGGCGTTCCTCAAAAGGTGCAGACATTCAAAGGTTTTACCAAATGCAGTTAAAATAACACATCACATAAAGTCTGTTAAAGGTAGCCAAATATTACACAAAGCTAGCGAATTATTATTCACATTTGTGAATTTCTTAAACACTTGCACTTACATATCAGCAATAGTGTATCCATACATTATTGGAATATAATTGATAATATAACACAACAATCGGCTGATAATGTATTTAACCTAACTGAAACTAAACAAATTTATACATTTTCTATACTTCATAAGAAACAATTCCCAACTAATAATGAACAATTTAAAAACAAACTGTATTGAACTTAACTAACACTGATTTAACCAGCAACATGATTTCCGTCCTTTCTAAAGGCCTTAACTTTGCCGTTACCCCACGCACAATTCCAGTAGATGAGATCATTGCTGAGGTTGATTCAGCGGTAAAACACCTTACACATAATGAGGCAGAGATGACTAGGCACGAGGTTGCCAAAATAAATGAGAATAGCAAAGTAAAGTCATGTAGAATGAGAACAAAATAATAAATTGATAAAATAAAATAACACAATAATATTCTCACGACGTTTCGGCCACAACACAAGCGGCCTTCATCAGGTGAAGGGACGAGACTGTCTGGAGGAAGGCCGCTTGTGTTGTGGTCGAAACGTCGTGAGAATTTTATTGTGTTATTTTATTTTATCAATTTATTATTTTATTCTCATTCTACGTGACTTTACCGAAAGAACCAAAGAAGATGAATCCTTGCAGTCACGAAAGCTTTAAATCGAAAAATAGCAAAGTACCAAAAATAAATATTTAGCTTTAATGAAGCAAAAGCCTTAAGGGAGCTTCGATTAAATTTATTCAAATTCTGGCAGCTGATAAAGGCCGCACTACTGTAGTGATGTCACGAGCAGATTATGATAATAAAATGTAAGATTTTCTAGAGGAAAGTACCTAGTTTAAAATTAAACGAGATCCAACTAATACTTTATAACGTAATACTACTGCAGTCATTTAAAATTCATTAATCCCCAAGACTGAGCAATACCAAATTAAGCCAAGGGCCTCAAAACCACCTCGACTGTATGGGCTACCAAAGATTCATAAAATCGGCACCCCGTTACGACCCATAGTCAGTACAATTGGCTCTGCCACATATAAATTGGCAAAATATATAACCAAACAAATACAGCCCTACATCGGTAGGACATCTTCATTCAAACGAAATTCAGAACATCTTGTAAATGTGATTAAAGATTTTAAACTTAACCCGAACGATATTCTGGTGAGTCTTGATGTAATTTCTCTATTCACTAAGGTTCCAGTTAACGAGTCGCTTAAATTACTTGATACACTAGTGAAGAAGACAGGTTTAACAGAAGATATTCCAAAACTAGCTGACCATTGTCTAAATGATACGTATTTTTTATGGAGAGGTGATTTCTTTAAACAAAAGGAAGGAGCAGCAATGATCTCTCCTTGTTCTCCTGTTATAGCAAATCTGTACATGGAAAACTTTTAAACAAGAGCACTTGCCTCAAGTACATTAAAACCATATTTTTGATTTAGATATGTTGATGACACTTTGGTTGTCTGGCCACATACTAAATATACACTGAATGGATTTCTAAATCATCTCAATGCACAAAACCTGGCCATCCAGTTCACCATGGAAATGGAGGTGAATAACACACTCCCGTTCCTAGATATTTTGCTTGGACGCGGCCTAAACGGTAAAATACCACACAGCATCTACCGAAAGGGAACGCACACTGATGCCTATCTGAATGCAGATTCGCATCATCACCCTGCACAGAAATCCTCTCTCATCAAGACGCTCATACATCGGGCTAAAACACTGTCAGATGGTGAAAGTCTAAGGATTTAGATTGGACATGTTAAAGAAGCACTACGACAATAATGCTCAAATAGTTCATAGTTAGTTCATAGTTTATTTATTTGGTATAGCCCCGTGAGCCATTCGGCTCTTGAATCGGGTGCAGCCTCAACAAACAAAAAGATGAACAAGAAAACATCTTAAAGTGATTATGTGTTGACTGTGCAAACAGAAAATCCAGGAAAAAAACAATCAAAATATTCCTGAAATAGCACCGTTACAGCAACGCTATGTGCAAAAATCCCAGTGGGATGCAAGTCAAATAGCAACAACAACAACAACAACCACAAGACAACTAAGATTAAGGCCATCAGTCTAACTCCGTACTACAATAAACAATAAATGAACAGAGCGTTGAATGCCAATTCAAGATCGAACAACAATGCTGCTGAAAGTGATCAGATTATTAAAACAATTAAAATACCATATATCTCGGGAGGTGCTGACAAATTAGCCCGTGTTTTGCAAAAGCAAAACATTAAAGTAAGATTTGGTGCGGTAGGCAAAATTCAAAAACTAGTGTCTTGCGCTAAAGGTGAATTACCTATGTTATCAACAGAAGGTGTATATCGGATTAATTGCTTATGCGGCAAATGCTCTGTTGGACAGACGGGACGTGACATTAGCGGAA